ATTTATGTTTCACTCATTTTTCTTCACTCTGTATTTTAGGATAACGAAAACATACACGTTCTTTAAAAATAATGTGTATTTAGGAATATCACAAGGCACTTGTTTAGGTTAAAGTCATAGCTAGAGAAAGCTGTACAATCTGAGACAGCTTGGCTCAGGGTTTTAGCATGAGCTGATGGAAGGCAGTGATGTAGTCACATGAATCTCATAGCATTACAACTAGAAATGTTGAAACTTAAGAGTTGTTAACTACCTTGGGGTATGACCTCTGTGATTGACAATGCTACTATTTTGTACAATATAATAATACTTCATTGTCTGATTTCTCAGAAACCTGTCTTACATAAAAGCAGCTATTGTATGTTTTACACACACAGAAACCTATAAAACATGCAAACAGTACAAGGTAACATTATGTAACAGACATCAACCTTTACATATTTATTTCACGTCACTCCTACAGGAATCCACATGACTACACAAGAAGCCTGAAAATTTACCCCCCACACACACACACACACACAATTACACTCAGTCCATATAATTACACATAACCCTTTTACTTTAGCACATAATGCACTGATGTCACTTGCTCATATTTTAACATCGATACTATTGATATTACTATTATAAAATTAAATCATTGTATTGACAAATGTCATTTTGCTCTTACCACTTTCAGATATTGATTTTGCCCTTAATATTTTACACTGATAGTTCAGAATGTGTGTTTTTTGGATAAAGGCAGGATTGGGGAGGGGAAGTTGAAAACACATCTGATAAAATGGGGCTGAAGATGAGAGAGGTGGCACACCCATGGATGAAACAGGGCAGAAAGCAGGGAGACAAGGAGAGAGAGTGGGTCAAGAAGAGATTGGAAGGAACATGACGCTGCCCTAGGGGTGTGTTGTTCCAGAGCTACAAAAGGAAGGGTGACATCATCAGAAGGAACCCAGAAAAGAAGAGCAGAAATTATGAAAGCTACAGGGAACCTCTTGTTTGGCACAGAGCCTGGATAACTAGAGGTCAAGTGGACAGAGAGGGTGTCTTGGAGGAAGTAAATGGAAGTTGGACCACCAGGTCCAGCCATGCTAGAAAAGAGCACAAGAAGATGGT